GGAAGGGAAAAAAAATTGGAAAAAAAAAAAAAAAAAAAAAAAAAAAAAAAAAAAAAAAACACATCTTAGTAATACCAATACCTCCTCAGCTTCGCATCGAAGCTAAAATAAAAAGAGGAAATAAAAATTGATTAGGAAAATTATTTATAGACTATAACGTTTTTATATACCTACAGCACATTTGATGTGTTTTTTATTGTTTTACCGATTAAGTTGAAACAATATAAAACACAAAAGTTCTAAATATTAGAAATCGTCAACCATAGTGACATTACCGATATTTTTTAAATTTTACGATATCGGTTACCTTTTAAAGTATCGCGATATATTGAAAAAAATATATTAATTTTACCACTTCTGATAATACTTTTTAGTTAAGTTAAATATGCATAGTTCGATATTAGAGCAATATAATTTTACTTGAATGGACGTTATCTGCAATGCAATAAATATTAAGTAGTACCAAAACAAAAATATACAATTACTTAATTCATACAAAATTCTACTCTTGGAATAAAAATTAAGATTCTTTAATATTATAACAATTAATGAAATCATTTTTCAATAGTGAAGTTCATCAATAAAAAATTATCTCACTAGCTAATGGTTAAAATATTAAGTGCCATAAAGTATTAACTTATGAACTTTTGAACATTATAATCAATGATATACAGCCGTTTAAATTGAAAGAACTGGTTTCAAGGATTTTGTACATAGAGCATTATTTAAGTGTGATGTTCTTTGTTCAAAACACTAACTAGATTATATGATTCAATTGTAGTTATTAAAAAAGCTATTTTTAAGAAAAACCTTAAAAAAAATGTCTGGCATATATCTTACCATGAGTTTTGGAACTTTTAGAAATAATATAAGTTATTTAGGTGTTACGTGCCATATTTCTAATGGATGGTCGTCAAAATAAAGGTGTAGGAAACTGTAAAGGTTTTAGAATCTCATACTTCAAGTAAAATCTTAAATAATATAAGGTCAATACAGCAGTTCTGATGATGATTAAAAAACAAAATAGGTATTACAATATATATATACTATTATACACACAATATTACAAGGTGCATTGAATATTTAGAAAAAGGCAATTATTAAGATTTTGACTACATAGTATATAAAAATTCTATTAATAATAATTTAATATAAATTTAAAAAAGTGTTAGCTGGGCTAATATATCAAGGGTTTCCATAATAAAAGGTTCAATTAATATTCTTGGATGTTTTAAGGCAGCTACTGTACTTCTTTGTGGTGATAAGTACATTTGTTATTCATTTACTGGTTTTTATACTTAGTTCAATGGATATAAAAAGTAATGAAAGAGTATTTTTAATAGAAATAAAATTAAACATTAGCATTTATTTGCAAAAATATGACGAAAGATATTACTTATAAAACTGCTGCATTAGGTCCAAGATACAAGATCTAGAACATTTTATCAATATACAAACCAAGTAAGATGTTGGACGAGCTACATAAAGAATTTTTGGAACTTAAAGAAATATTACAAAAGCAGTTTGAACTTATAAATAATAATGAAGATTAAATTATTGAGTCCAAAGAAAAAGATCCAAATTTTTATCAGAAGATAGTGGTGATGGAGATGCTGTTTCATGATGTGTAACAAAATTAAGCAGTTAAATAACTATAAAAAGAAACAAAAAATGATGTGTAATTCATTTGGTGGGTGACAGTAGAAACAGAATAGTTAAAAAATGTCGAGAATAATTATTTTTCCCCAATTTTGCGATATAATATTGCTGAAATCTGGACAAAATCAATATAAAAATATCGTTGATGGTGTTCATGTAGTAGTGTTTACTAGTTACATAAAACATAAAAGTACTAAATTAAATACATTGAATGATTAAGCTATTTTTAGAGTGCAAAAGCTTAATTTTTCTTTACTCACTAGTCTTATAATTCTGACATAATATTTTAAAAGCAAAATACTCATAACAATGAAAAATTCATAAATATTTAACCAAAAATTTTTAATTTCAGAATTTATGGAAGTTATGACCGGCTAAAGAAAATGCAAAACAAATTAAAGTTATTGCTGAAATTTTTATTAAAAATAAGTTATTTCTTGTTACACTATTTAGAATTTTGATATTAAAACAGTATGAATAAGTTACATTTATTACTTAAACGACTATGTCTAGTTTAACAAACGTATCATTTGTCATGAATAATACGAGTAATATAAGTATTAGCTTCTAACACTAAAGGACATTGTATCATAATATTTATTTTTTGAAAAAAACTATTTTTTAAATATATTTAGTAATATGTAACGGTACTTATTGCATAACTTATTTATTATAGATATTAAACACTGAAAATATTTAAAATAAATTTTACATGTATTAATTGTAGTAATAAGTTTAGATTAATATCAAATATTATAACATGTTAATATTATCAAATAAATGATTATATGGCAAGAGGCTATTGTAGTAATTTTCAGGTATAAAAACTAGCTTAAGTTTAAACAGTTTTAAACTTAAGCTCTTGATTATTACTTTAAGTTAAAGTTATTTATGAGTAAATTTGGTTGTGTGGTATTTTCTTAAGTAATCTTTTTAGAAATTTTTATTCGATAATAAACCCTAGATTCCACATCCATTCTCTATGTATTTTTATTAATATTGTATTAATTATATGATAGACAAACAAAATACTAAAGTGCTTTCAAAACTCTATATAGTTTGGTTTTTAACAAGTTTAATTTGCCAAAATAAGTACTCGATTAATGTAATTTTATATTTTAATTATAGACAGAATGTAAAAGTGTTGTTTCACAACATGATCGATCAATTACGTTTAGACAACTAGAAACGTATTATAATTTAAGTATAAAAGAATATCATACGAGTATTACCATCTAAACGATAAAATGGTATCATTAATTATCTAACGAAATCTGAACATTTTGCTTAAAGCCATTATGCTAATTTTATTTACTTAAAACATAAATAAATCACAATATTTTTGTACACAAGAGTAATTGATACTATTTACTATTAATAATTCTAAATTATCTTAATGGTATGAATAAATTTCTAATTAAATTTTTCCTAAATGTTATAAAATCTGTATAAAAAATAATCCTTAACATTTTTATCACATTTTGTGATTGTTAAATTTTGAAGTCTATATTTAATGAATTTTATAATACATTTTTTCAATACTAAATTATTGAAATAACATACATTTTTTCGTAACTTTAAACTTCTAATTTAGAATTTTTTTTTTAACGCTTTTATTTTATAAATAATTTGATAGATTGATAATGAAATTTGAACAAATGATCTCTAAAAATATGAAATTATTAACAACTAATAACTAAATGAATTAATTAATTAACTGTATTTCAGTATTGCATAATAAATAGTGCAAATATTATATAGAAAACATTAATTACTGTTCATTAATATGTATATATAATCAATAGTTATCGAGTTAAAATGATAAATTTTTATGTACTGTAATGAAAAATAAACTATATACTAGCAGTTTATAATATACGTCGGCTAGAAAATATCAAGATTTTAATAAGATATTCATTAATCATTAATTATAGACATTTGCTTTTTAATTAGATTTTAGCAACGATGGAAAGTAAACTTTTTAACCAGACAGTCGCTCATAAGCCTAGGTCCATTTATAATTATACGAATATAATTTCAAATAAATAAAAACTCAAATATTTGATTAAATTTAAAATATATGTTCTTATATGAAAAAAACAAAGTTATCACATTTACAAGGTTCAAGGAATGAACTTAAAAAACTATTATATAACTCATAATTCAAGAGTAACATGTAAGTATAGGTAACCAAAATATTTTTTTATATCCTGTTAGTAATTAAGTAGTTTATGAAAAAAAAACTCTCAGTATATTAATTTACCAAATATTAAAGTAACTTATTTACGCCTAAATTTTGCATAGAAATATTATCATAATACTGAATTTCTACGGATTTGTCATTGTAATTTAATTTTTATAAAATTGTCATAATTCTAATATTGTTATTTTTAAGAAACAGACTTATGTGCATTTATAAATATTGTGTAAGGCCCATTGGAAGGACCCAAGTTTATGCAACTTAGTTCAGGATTATATAGTAATATAGAAATATTTTTCGCTTTACGTGGAATAAACCTCCTAATCATCCCCAAATTTATACACCTATTTCCAGCACATTACTATGTGTTTTCAACAAATTGATAAAAATTTGTACTAGCTGATAATGTGTTCGGAATATCTTCACAAAATGTATAAATTACATATATACATCTATTAAAATGTTTTCGAAATTTTCAATAATTAAATTTATCGTCAGGAGATTGATAGAATTTGAACTAATTAATGAAAAATAAAATGTTAAACATATTAAAATAATTACACATATAATTTAATAAACTTTTTACTGCGATTTGAATTTCATTTAAAAATAAGTATACCGTCTTATTATTTTTATGATTTTTGTTTTGTATTTGACGATATTTTGACATATCTTATAACTTTTGATCTACTAAATATTTTGCATACATACTATCCATTTAATAAAAAATTGCGTCGTTAATTTCTTAATTATTTTTTTCAATCATCAATACAACCGTAGCTTTGCTTTTTCTGTGCGTCAAAAATAAGTTACAAGCATTTTATTTTTTTTAATATTGAATGTATTATTAGACTACGTAAACAAATTTGATTTTTAATTTACGTTTTTCTTTCAAAAATTTCAAAATAACCTGTATTTTTATCTTTCCGTACAAAAAAATTTAAAGAGTCATTAACAGTTTTAGGAAAAGTATTTTAAAACATTAAGTACGTCTATGTAGCTCGTACTGGTGTAAATTTATAATATATACTCCATCTACGTTAAATATATCAATAAACAATCATTCTAAATTTGTTCTCAATTTTTTCAATAACCTAATATCAAATATTACAAGAAAGCTTGTAAAAGAAAATGCAATTGATAATTTTTATAATTCTATTGTTGAGATGTTTGAGGAAATAAAAAACGATGATGACGTTACTTTTTGAACAACGATATATTATTTATATTATACAAGCAATTTTTTTGGAAAAATACTGTATATTCAGGACAGATAAGTCTGAAGAGAACTTTTTAGATGCAGAAAATTACAAAAGCAAACGTTTAGGTTCTAGAAGTTTTCAAACATTCATTTATATGATCACAGACATTTTTTCAAAATTATTAATAAAATGAATAAAAAAAAATTACACACCCATTGGATTTATATACCAAGAAAGTAGCTAAAAAAACATTTATAATTCGTCGATAGTAAATATCAATATAGTTGTTGTGATATAAGCAGTAATAAATCAATAACTACAAGTCTTTAAGTTGTTTTTATATTATGGACCTAATAAAGACATTTAATATTGAACTTCAATCAATAAAATTCATTATTACATTTTTTCATAAAAGTCTTTACTAAAAAAATATTACATTTTTTCATAGAGTCTCTTCATAAAGTTTTCAAAAGAGATCTTAATAGCTTACAAAGTTCAATTTTAATAACTATATAAATATATTTACAAAATCGATATTTATGTAGTAATATTAGTAACCTGAAACATTTAGCCAGTTATTTTACCTTTGCTTTATATAGTTCTCATTTTTCATCTCATTCAATTTATTATTAATTTTACTTGTTTTTCAATGTAATTGAAAATTTTAATAAAAACAATTTTTTTGTTTACACCATACTTACAACCATGGAAATAATTAACATATTCCAATACTCTAACAAAATCTATCAAATCAATCTATTTACTAGATATAAAACCAAACTAAAATAAACAACAGCAAAGATTTGCGTGGGTATTGTTTTTAACATCAACAATAAGTTTCTACTGATATTATAAATAAACACGTATAATGTGGGAGACATTTACATGTATTAACACATGTATAAGTTTCTTTTACTGAAATTATTTTCGGTAAAATTACCTACTTTTACTTGATACCTTCGCCCACCATAAATAAGGGCTTACTCGTTTTTCTCTTTGAGGCGTGATGACTTTAAAACTATTTTTAGCATAAATACTTTATATCTAAAATTGAATATAAAAATCGTCAAAGGAAACTATATTTGAATATTGATTTCACAGTTAAAAATAATTTAATGCTTAATTTGAAATTGTTTTCTTTAAGTAATAAAACGGATGACTTGAAATTTGTTTAAATTCATTCAAAATTGTAAAAAAATATTATTTTTTACTTAATCCGCTAAATCACTTCATAAATAGAACTAAAGTAGTAACTAGAATGTGTCCGATAACTATTAATTATTTTTAATATATTGATAACGCGTATTAGTTAACCAATTTGACAAATTAATATTCGGTAATTTAATCCTTTTACATGTACAAAACTAACGATTGGAGGTCAAAAACGGCAACGAGTTATATTACCTTTCTCTTTTATATTTGACACAGTACAGTTTTCTTAAAAATGGTAATTTATCTGATCCTTTGATGTTGATAAGTGAAGTATCATTTATATCATATATTCGTTTGATTAAATTGCATTAAAAAAAATTCAATATTCAAAATTAGTTATACAATAAATAAAAATCGAAACTTGATTGTTAGCATTCCCACGTGTCGTTTAACGTGAATAAATACATAATCAATATTGCATTCATTACACCTACACTGTCAACATTTTATAAACAAAAAAATCAAACCGGTCGGACTTGATACAGATAATATAAAAAGATTCGAAAATATTATATAAGACTAAAAAGCCGGGAGGTGGCAGTATTGATACAGATTCGCCTTGAGTAAAACCAATCGTCATAGACATCTTCTAGTGTTGTGATGCTTTCAGTCCATATTATTATTGAGTTTAAGTACACACAGCATTAGTGGCCCAATTCTAGACAAGGTTACTCCGAATAATCGTTCAAATGCTGTGTATTGATTTATTCGTGTGCCCTGTACTTTCCAAGGTCGTGATACAGTTTCTCGACACTTTTTGCGAAATGGTGAAATTTGTCGCTACACTGCCGAAACCGGTTGTTTTCTTATCCATTACAGTTCCGACAAGTCCTACGATAAATATTGAATTACGTCTCCGTAAAAATTCAACATAATTGGTACGACGTTATTATAAAATTTGAATGTTTTCTCGAAACACTTTTTTAAGAATTTCAATTTAATATCGACTATTAATTTTAAGTGAAAACAAAATATGAAATGAACTTGTACAATTACAAAACCAACTTATATTTCAATTTTTAATAACGTTTTCATAGTTAGTTACCATAGATTCTACAATTTCCTAAAAAAAAACAATTCAAATGAATTCCA